AGGTCTATTCCTTAATTAAGGGGTACTGGGCTCTCTGGGTAGGTACTTGGGAGACGGTTAGGGTTTGGGGCTTTAGGATTCATGATCACCGGGTTAAGCCAGACTATGTCTAAAGGTCTGCAGGACTCACTATGACAGGGTTCCATAATTATGGGTGTTCGATATGGTTTATAGGCTCGCAGAGGGTTCGAAAGACCTTATACATAGGTACTTGGGTTGGGTTCAACATACCAACACTGCAACAGTCTGGGCATTTAGTCAATTAGGTGCCTGGGCCCTTGGCACGGCATGGCACGCCATTTGCCGTGGGAGCATTGAGTTTCAGGTCATGGTAGTGGGGATGCCTGTGGACCGCCTCTAGCTTCTGGTGTCCTGTCTACACCAGCAAACGCAGAAATCGATCTCGGCGTTCTTCACGCACATGGCGATTCTGGGCTTCTCGGGCCTTCCAACATGAGTCTGGCACTTGCTTCGTGTTCAGCCGGCTTGCGAACACTCGGCAGAGGTCCGCGTAGTGTTCTTGTAAACCCTATAACCCTAAACCGATCTATGGGGCACCTGGCCCTGGTCTAGGTCCTTGGACCCGGAAAACCCTACACCCCAAACCCGCATCGCTGAAAAGCCGCGTAAAGTCTACGGCCGGCTCTGAAACCCCCAAACCCTAAACCCCCCGTTCAGGCCGCTGTGTGCTCGACTTCGGGCTCCTGAGACCTGGTAGATAAGAACAGCGACAACACGATGAACAATGACACTAGCAACGAGGTTATCCTTACTCTGTAGTAATAAACGTCATAAAAAGCTAATCGTAATAACCACAGTAATGACTGAATGAATACCTGTAACATCACAAATTATCGGCAACGATGTTGTCGCTACTGCGCCTGCAACCCGTGAACTCCCAAAACCCCAAACCTGAAACCCGAAGCCCTAAACCCTCTCTCTCCCTCGCGGACTCTGAGGTCTGACCCCGAAACCCAAAACCCTAACCCCTTAGGTACCTACTATATAGGGCTCTAGGGGCTCTACTACCTTATATGGTAGGTACCTGGGGGGTTAGGGTTTAGGGTTTAGGGCTTAGGGTTTAGGGTAGGTACCTGGGTTAGGGTAAACCGTAAACCAAGCATCTTCTTCCTCACGGGATTGGCCATCGGCAGCTCCCCCACCTCGAGGTTGACGTTGGCGTCCAGCGACCTCGTGCTAGGCCGCACCATGAACTGATAGTATAGTAAAAAATGAGACAACTTAACTTGGGGTAATATAACATAACAGAACATAAGTTATCTGATCTAAGGTCATATAATCTAACTTAACTTAATCAAAATTAGACATCATCTTTAATGATAATATACTATACTGTATCATGTTTTACTACAGCATCTTATACTATACTAGAATAGACTGTATTACATTATACCACATGACAGATTTAATAATAATAACAACAATAATATTAATAATAATAATAATAATACTAATAATAATACTAATAATAATAACAACTTCTCTTATCTTACCTTATGTTATATTCTGTTGTATTATGTTACTTGTCCATTATCCTGAGGGAACTTAAAGTCAACCTTTGGGGTGACATAGCGATTCCAGTATCCCAAACAGGTTAAAGGTCCTCTACTCTACTTCTACGATGAGCTGCAGACGACAAGCATCACCCGAAGACTAAACCCTAAACCCTAAACCCTAAACCCTAGGACTATGTGAATGAAGATACACGCTACCATCGAGCCCGAAGCCTTAGGCCCTCGGCTGAAGCACAGGTTTAGGGTGCATCTGCCGTGAAAACGGTGCAGAGATGCCTCTAATCTGGGCAGGCATCATTCATCGCGATAGCCGTGCTTCTACGCTTCTTACTTGAAGCCCTTCTTCGCCCCGAACCGCGGATGCAGGATCTGCAAGGTGCATTTTATCTCAGGCTCTCAGGGGGCGCTTGGAGCCTGTCAGGCCCTTGTGCAATGACATGAACTGTAACGGACAACTTTTGCAGGAGGAGAGACCTACACGAGCCACAAGGCAGCCGAGAAGCACAGCAGGGAATGTATCCTGCGAGGGTGCTGGAACTGGAACAAAGTCCCTTGGCGTAGTCGGTGCTGGCGCCAGCCTCAGTCGCTCTTGGGTTGCCAAAGGCTTTGTAGAAAGGTCATCCTGGGTTGAAGTTTTGGGGCCACTGAAAGTATTTATGACTAGATGACTCTATAGGAACCATCAGAGACATTTTTTTAAGTTTCCCAAAGTGCCGCCTAGATAATTACAGAGCTTTAGATAAAGTCCATCTCAGGGTGCTTGCGGGGCCCGGCTTCATCAGCAGCATACTAGGTCTCATCGTCCGTGAAGTTTCTGAAAAGGATGTACAGCAGTTTGCGCTGCCTAGACTGTAAAAACTTGTTGAAACTCATCTGCTGCTGTTGCCACCTGTCCAAAGCTACCCCTTTTCGGGAAGACTGACCAATGCTATGCTCCCGGAGGCATTAGTCTTGAGAGAAGTGAGTACTCGAAAAAGGACCGACGTTAGGATCGTGGGCCCGGGAAACACTGGGGATGTGTACTGAGCTGTAGTGCGTTCGAAATCTGTGGTCGGGCTCGCCAACAGCCCACCAGTTATGCGGAACATGTAGTTTTTGCATTTGGTTGGCCTACGTTTGGTTCGGCTATGCCGGAGCATATTTTACCTTAGACCAATGCCCGCTGGCTCCATAAGGGCCAACTTCGGTACCAGAGTTCCGAACTCTTGACCCCCAAAACGTCTGCACGAAAGCTCAAGCCACGAAACGTTAAACCCCAAACTTACACTACACCTCCTAATGGATGAAACTCTGGAAGTCCAGACTAGCCTAGCAAAACACGGGAAGGCTAAGGCAAGAAAACGAGAGGGCTGTGAGAGGCGTTGTCGGGGTTTTGCAGGGTTGGGTTCTTCCTACACTGTTACACGATTTGCCAACGCTTTTTGTGGAACTGAGCTTCAACACATGATCGCACCCTCCCTAAACCCTAAACCCCTAAACCCCTAACCCCTAAACCCGAAACCCTAAACCCCAAACCCTACACTTTAACTCTAAAGCCCTGAACCCGAGGTCGGCGTGGGTTCAGGGACTGGGCCAGTCCCAAAGCAATCGCTTTCTATGAGAACCACAAGTGTTTAGGGTTTAGGGGTTTAGGGGTTTCGGGGTTTAGGGGTTTGGGATTTTTTGGGTTTAGGGGTTTAGGG